TTTTTGGGATTTCGGGAGGGCTCTCCCCAGTGTCCCTCCCTGAATTTCTCAGAGCTTTTCCCAGAGAATCCCTGAGATTTTTTGGGATTTTGGGATGGCTCTCCCCGGTGTCCCTCCCTGAATCTGCCTGAGCTTTTCCCAGGGAATCCCTGGAATTTTGGGGATTTTGGGAGGGCACTCCCCAGTGTCACTCCCTGAACCTGCCAGATCTTTTCCCGGGGAATCCGAGTTTTTGGGATTTCGGGAGGGCTCTCCCCGGTGTCCCCCCCTGAACCTGCCCGGGTTTTGTGCATTCCCAGTTTCCCGACGAGACCCTGCGGAGCGGGGAGCTGCTGAACATGATCGTGGCTGTCATCGACTCCTTCCAGGTGCGGGGACCCTTCCCGGCCCCTTCCCAGCCCCTTCCCGACCCTTTCCCGGCAGATTTCACCCCAAAATGAGCCATCCACGGCCTCCACTCCCCATCCTCGCCGGAACGAGCCCCAAATCTCCGCGGCTTTCCTGCCTCGGTGTCCAAAGGTCGATCCCAAGCTTGCAAGGGATCTCCTGCAGAGCCATTTCCTGGGCAATCAGCGCTAATTACCCTAATGAGCCCCTTGCCCGGGGGATCCCGCTGGCTCTGCCTGAGGCTGGGACGTTCCTGGCAGGAATTTTCCCCGCTCCAGAGCGGCTGTGAGAGCCCAGAAATAGGCGCGGGGGCGCCTCTGGAATGCCGGGTCTGGATGTGCCGATAACCCCGGGCCCTCCTGCCCCAATCCCAATCCCGGGAATGCTGCGCCAGCAGCTCCTGGAGGGGGCTGGGAGCCGGGAATGCTCCCAGATCCGGAGGGTTGGGGGCTTCCTTCCCCTCCCTGCTGCCCTTCCTTCCTGAGCTTCTCCAGGTGCTTCCCTGGGGGGATGGAGCCAGAGGATCCTGTGGGGTCTGCAGAGGGGCAGGGAGAAGGAGGATGAGAGGCAGGGTGGGAAGGGGAAGCTCTCCCAAGGGATCCCAGGGGTGGTGCTGGCACTTTTCCTGCTGGATCCCATTTGGGGAGGCTCCTCAAACCCCCCTGACCCATTCCCTGTCCCGTCCAAAGGATGGTGCTGGCACTTTTCCTGCTGGATCCCATTTGGGGAGGCTCCTCAGAGCCCCCTGACCCATTCCCTGTCCCATCCCAAGGATGGCGCTGGCACTTTTCCTGCTGGATCCCATTTGGGGAGGCTCCTCAGAGCCCCCTGACCCATTCCCTGTCCGCCCCCCAGGGATGGTGCTGGCACTTTTCCTGCTGGATCCCATTTGGGGAGGCTCCTCAGAGCCCTCTGACCCATTCCCTGTCCCATCCCAGGGATGGTGCTGGCCCTTTTCCTGCTGGATCCTGCCTGGGGAAGCTCCTCAAACGATGGGATTGGGAATGGGAATAGGAATAGGAGTGGGAATGGGGGTGGGATTGGGAACAGGATTGGAAATGGAAATGGGAAGAGGAGTGGGAATGGGGATGGGGTTGAGCAGGGCCCAGGCAGCCCCCAAATCCTGCCCCAAATCCAGGCTTGGCCCTCTCCAGGGGGAGATCCCTGCCGGGGCTGAACTCCCTGCGGGCATTAAAGGATCACTGCCAGGGATTGTGGGGTTTATCCCTGTGCCCGAGGGTGCCAGGCAGGGATGGGCAAATCCCAAAAGCTGCCCCGGCTCCACAGCCTCTCTGTGGGGTCCCTCGGTGTCCCTAGAGCAAATCCCTGATCCAGCTTTGGGAGCAGCGGGATAAGCCTGCTAATTAGGGAGCCTCGTTAGCTCTGTGCCCACTGCCAGTGCCGGGGGGGGAGGGGGGACCCTGGGCAGGTTTGGGGTGCCCAGAGCTGGGGAAGGGGCTGACACAGACCCCTGTTAACCCCACTGTCCCCATTGTCCATCCCCATTGTCCATCCCCACTGTCCCCATTATCCATCCCTGTTGTCCCCACTGCCCCTGCCATCCTTGTTTTTCCCATTGTCCCTGTTGTCCTTCTTGTCCCCATTGTCCCTCTCGTTGTCTCTCTGGTCTTTGTTATCCCTGTTATCCCCATTGTCCCCGTTCTCCCTGTTATCCTTCCCTGCTGTCCCCTCTCCCCTCTGTCCCCCGTCCCTGTCCCTGCTGTCCCTGTGCTGTGTCCCCTGTCCCCATCCCTGTCCCCCTGTCCCTGTTGTACCTGTCCCATCCCTATCCTTGTCCTCTATCCCGGTCCCTATCCCTGTCCCCTGTCCCCCTGTCCCTGCTGCCCCTGTGCTGTGTCCCCTGTCCCCATCCCTGTCCTCCTGTCCCTGCTGTCCCTGTTCCATTCCTGTCCCTCTCCCTGTCCCTGTCCCTGCTGTCCCTGTGCTGTGTCCCCTGTCCCCATCCCTGTCCCCCTGTCCCTGCTGTCCCTATCCCTATCCCTGTCCCTGTCCCTATCCCCATCCCTGTCCCTGCTGTCCCTGTCCCTGCTGTCCCTGTCCCTGCTGTCCCTATCCCTGTCCCTATCTCTGTCCCTGTCCCTATCCCCATCCCTGTCCCTGTCCCTATCCCATCCCTGCTGTCTCTGTCCCTATCCCTGCTGTCCCTATCCCTGTCCCTGTCCCTATCCCCATCCCTGTCACCGCTGTCCCTGTCCCTGTCCCTGCTGTCCCTGTGCTGTGTCCCCTGTCCCCATCCCTGTCCCCCTGTCCCTGCTGTCCCTATCCCTATCCCTGTCCCTGTCCCTATCCCCATCCCTGTCCCCGCTGTCCCCATCCCTGCTGTCCCTGTCCCTGTCCCTGCTGTCCCTGTCCTGTCCCTATCCCTGTCCCTGTCCCTGTCCCCATCCCTGTCCCCGCTGTCCCTGTCCCTGTCCCTGTGCTGTGTCCCCTGTCCCCTGTCCCTATCCCCATCGCTGTCCCTATCCCATCCCTGCTGTCCCTGTCCCTATCCCTGTCCCTATCCCTGTCCCTGTCCCTATCCCATCCCTGCTGTCCCTGTCCCTATCCCTGTCCCTATCCCCATCCCTGTCCCTGTCCCTATCCCATCCCTGCTGTCCCTGTCCCTATCCCTATCCCTGTCCCCGCTGTCCCCGCTGTCCCCGTCACCGTGCGTGTGGCGCAGTTCAGAGCCTGGACTGGGAGACCTTTGAGCAGTACTGCACGTGGCAGCTGTTCCTGGCCCACAACATCCCCCTGGAGACCATCATCCCCATCCTGCAGCACCTCAAGTACAAGGGTGAGCGGGGCACACGCCTGGGGACATCCTGGGGACATCCTGGGGACAGCTCAGGGACATCCCGGGGACATCCCCATCCTGCAGCACCTCCAGTACAAGGGTGAGGGGGACACTGTGGGGACAATGTGGGGACATTCCTGGGACACCCAGGGACATCTGGGGACAGCCTGGGACATCCCTGGGACACCCAGGGACATCTAGGGACAGCCTGGGGACAGCCTGGGACATTCCTGGGACACCCAGGGACGCCTGGGGACACCTCTGGAGACATCCCAGGAACACCCCTGGGACAACCCAGGGGACATCGTGGGGACATTGCCGGGGTGGGAGACATTCCCAGGGGACATTCCAAGGGGGACATTCCCTGGGGACATTCCTGGGACACCCTGGGACACCCTGGGGACATTCCTGGGACACCCTGGGACACCCTGGGGACATCCTGGGACACCCTGGGGACATCCTGGGACATTGCCACCTCCTTCCCCCGGCAGAGCACCCCGAGGCCCTGTCCTGCCTCCTGCTGCAGCTCCGCAGGGAAAAGTAAGTGGGGGGCACCAGGGGGGACCCCCAGAGTGTCCCCATGGCAGGGGGGTGTGCCTGGGGCCCTGGGGGAGACACCCGGGGGATCTGGGGACACCCAGGGGGTCTGGGGGGCTCTGGGGTGTCCCCACAGGACGGGGATGCGCTGCCACACCCGGGCAGAGCCGGAATCCCAGATGGGGAATTCCTGGGGGTCTGGGGTCTCTCCTGGGAGGGTCTGTGGGTGTCTCCAGGGGCTCTGGGGAGGACTCCTGGGGGTCTCCTGTGGGTCTGGGGGTGTCTCCAGGGGCTCTGGGGGGTGTCTCCTGTGGGTCTGGGGTTTCTCCTAGTGGTCTGGGGGTTCTCCTGGGGGTCTCCTAGTGCTCTGGGGGTCTCTCCTGTGGCTCTGTGGGGTCTTCTGTGTGCTTTTTGTCCCCTCCCCAGGCTGTAACCCCTTCCCCCCCCGAGGATTTGGGGAGGTTTTTGTCCCCTGCTCCCCAAGAGGCAGAGGTGGGGGATCATTCCCTGGGAATGCCCTTCCGCAGGATTTGGGGTGCTCTTTCCCTCCCCTGTACCCCATTCCCACAGAATTCCCTCCCTGAAGAGTTGGGGTGCTTTTTGTCCCCTCCCCAGGCTGTAACCCCTTCCCACCCCGAGGATTTGGGGTGCTTTATGTCCCCTGCCCCACAAGAGGCAGAGATGGGGCACCATGCCCTGGGAATTCCCTCCCGCAGGATTTGGGGTGCTCTTTCCCTCCCCTGTACCCCATTCCCACAGAATTCCCACCCCGAGGATTTGGGGTGCTTTTTGTCCCCTCCCCAGGCTGTACCTCATTAGAGGTTTGGGATCTGTCCCTGGGGTGTCTCACCCCCATTTCTGTGTTCCCACCCCCATTTCCGTGTCCCCCCCATTTCTCTGTCCCCCCATTTCCATGTCCCCCCCATTTCTCTGTCCCCCCCCATCTCCGTGTCCCCCCCCATTTCTATCCCCCTCCATTTCCGTG